GCCATTATTCTGGGAGCTCAGGTGGCACAGGAGACGTTCCGTAGGTGAGATTTGTGTGTAGCCTGAACGTCAGCTGGAGACTTCTCAGAAGAGCACAGGCGGCACAGAATGTTCTCCGCATCTACGTCCCTGTTTCTAGGGCCAAGGGGACAAGGAACAATTCATGCAATAGCTGACAAGAAGCCAAGCCAGATCCTTTAGAAAAGATACTGAAACACTTTTTCCCATCTTCACTAACTGCACTGATTTGTCAGTGCTGTGTTTGGTGCCTCTGTGTCCACATCTGCAGTTGCGGAGCTGCCTGTCTGGGAACGCATGTAGGCTGTGAAGCGGCTGACCCATTGTGTGCTGTAAGCGGTCGATAGGCCTCAGCTCACAGAAAGTACTGGCATGAGAAGGGGGTCACCCTGGGGGAGGCTGGAAGGCTTTAACAAGCTTTACCTACATAGTGAGCGGACGGCCAGCGTGACATTTAGCTTTCACTGGAGGTTCACAACCCTGAGAGACCCAGCCCACACCACGGCCAACACTGAGGATCATAATGGCTCATTTCTGTTCTTTATTAGACAGACTCTTCCCTGGAGAGTAATACAGATGTTGCTGCAAAGACATTCATCAGTGTCTGATGCTAAAATGCTAACACACCTGTTCTTACTGCTACATATGCATGCAATTTGGTGGCAGTGGTTCTTGCCTCCTTGGGTTTGGTCAGTACTCTTTTTCAGAGGAGCTTAACTGATGATAGTCAGTGGGTTTTAGAGAAGGTTCTCTAACCATAACTAATGGGAGCCCTGTGTGAAAGGAACTGGGTTTTTTCAATGGGATACAACAGATCTGTGAAAAAGGGGGCTTCCTTATGCATCTACATGGAAACCCAGACATCCACATAGAAATTTACTGCAGCTATATACCAATGACTTATACCAATGAAATTGTGTCTCTCTTGAGTGATACCCGCGTGTGCAGGTTCAGGATCAGGGGGACAGCATGTGTGCAGGATCAGGGAGCAGCATGTGTGCACGGTCAGGATCATGAGGACGGTGCATGTGCAAGTTCAGGATCAGGGGACTGTGTGTGTGCAGGTTCAGGATCAGGGGGAGTGTGTGTGTGCAAGTTCAGGATCAGGGGGACTGTGTGTGTGCAGGTTCAGGATCAAGGGGACTGTGTGCGTGCAGGTTCAGGACCAGGGGTACTGTGTGCATGCAGGTTCAGGATCAGGGGGACTGTGTGTGTGCAAGATCAAGATCAGGGGGACTGTGTGTGTGAAGGTTCAGGATCAAGGGGACTGTGTGTGTGCAAGTTCAGGATCAGGGGGACTGTGTGCGTGCAGGTTCAGGATCAGGGGGCCTGTGTATGTGCAGGTTCAGGATCAGAGGTACTGTGTGCATGCAGGTTCAGGATCAGGGGGACAGCGCATGGGCAGTTTCAGTGGGTTGCTCTTCCAGCACAGCCGGCCCCCCTCTAGGAGGCCCAGCCATCCGTGACCAATCCATAGGGCGGGCTGAACATGGACACACGGCTGGACGTAGCCACAGATGGGGGACATGTGTTCCAGGCTCCGCTAAACGTCTTTTGGAGGCTGACAACAGACAGGAAGTTGTTTACGAATTTGTCGTGGCTGCTGGATGACAGGACGACACCTGGCGCGAACGCGAGCCTTTACAGCAGGCCACTTACACAGCTGAGTGGAGCTGGGACTGAAGGAGCGAGCAGATCGGCGCATGTGGGGGAAACGACTGGCAAAAAGGATCTAATGTTTATTCATACAAGCAGAATAATAACAATGTCTGCAGAATATTTGATTGGCAGAAGCCAATGTGAAAAATCACTACCATGATGGTCTATGTACCTTCAGACCTCAGTTTAGGCAAAATTTAAGACAATTTTAGGATGCTATAGAAAAAAAAATCTTTGGAATATGCAACAAAGAACCATTGAGTTATGGCCTATTTCAGTGGTCTCAACAATGCCTTCAATTCAATTGTGTATTATGTCATTAGTGATTTTATGAATACCTCTCCTCAGTGCTACACTTCTTATACAAACCTCAGGTTGTCATGCCAACAGGAACGGAGCCGAAGACTGAACACTTCACTTCCTTCAAAACAGGATTCTGGGGAATTGTGACATCCATGTGGTCCTCAGAAATTTCAACACAGGAATGAATCCAACCTTCTATTTGGGGACTCTAATGATCTTATTGTCTCTGTTCAAGTTTAAACCACACCCCTCATGTCATTAATGAAAAATAGCAAGGCCGGAGAGAATAATAGCGAGAGATTGTTCAGGACAACAGCAGTCATATCCTGAAAGTGAGCTTACTCAATTTACATTAAGGAAATATTTATATTACCAGTGTGGGATAGTATTAATCAACAGTGGCACTCAGAGTAGCAGTTACGGATTATCATTAATTCCTCCTAGTGCCTTCTCTAAAATACAGAAAGGTGCTGAGCTTTGCTGGAGTGACCTGTGCTTGTCATCCATAAAAAATAGGTATGGCACTAACACAGGGATAGTCAGCTAGACTCTGGCGTAAAAAGGATTGTTTCTTATAAGGAAGGAATATTCCAGTAAGTAAATCAGAAATCAAACCAGAGGTTTCGCCAGACGTAATGCCACTGAAGCCTTTGGGAAAGTTGGTGTTCTGCCGCGAGATGACGCACTTTTAATAAAACCGTCTGTTTAAATAGACAGGGTCTCGTGAACCACATAAAAGCAAGTCAGTATCATAGGAGTGAATTTACCATGTACTCCTCAACATGCATCTTCAGTGAAAAAAAGCAATTATCAAATTGGGATTTTATTATTAATAATAATAATATATATTTCTTTCAATTAACATTTTAGATACAGAAAAACAAAAGAACCGAAAACAAAAAAGACAGAACTTTAACCCTTAACCTTTAGTCTCTGTACTGTGAAAGTGCCTATATACTGATGTGCTATATAATAGTATTATTTTTGAAATGGTTTGTCAAACAATTATCCATTCAGTTTGGAAAATTCAAACATTGGTTTTATGAGTGCTGCTCGATTGTCATCATATTATTTTCATTTCAATATATATTTAATTTCTACCTTGGCGTCTTCATAAAACACACAACCAACTTTAACCAGGCATTTAAACTAAAAAAAAATACAAAAAGTCATATTCACACAACAAAAGGAGCCTCTTGATAAATCTGTCTCCCTGTTGAGAGAACGATTTTGTGCTGCTTTACGTTTCTCATAGATTTGCTTGTGTTGCATAATTCTGGTCTGAATGTGAATTTTATTCAGTCAGTCACTGAGATAAACCACCTCAGACCTCCTGGGAGGCTCTTGGTATTTCATCAACCAAAAGGCACAACTGTGCTAGAACACTGGTCTTTTTGTGATAATGAAGAGCAGAATATCACTTTGGGCCAGCTAGTGAACAATCTCCGCCACTTCCTGTTGAGCCCTTCATACCTACCCAGCATGCAACTGGATCAAAGTAGCAGAGCATCAGACCAACCATACCTGATGAGACTTCTGCAATGTCCCTAATGCCCAACAGGGTCATTAGATAACATTCATTCTATATATTTAGAGGGACATCACTTGAGACAAGAAAATCATTGCAAAACATAGGACATATGTTTAAACATTTGTTTAAAAGGGCTAGAATTTACCCTGATCTGTTAAGCACATGGTGGTTTGAGTTAAACATTTCTCTTATGCACAAAAATAATTGGGATAATAGTATGCATTCTCTTAAAATGAAAGCTTAATCACCACCCTGCTCATCCTTATTTATATATAAGGTTTTTTAGCATGTTTTTATTATGCATAAAGGGTTTTTTTGTTTTTAGTTTTTATAGGAAATAAACACATCAACATGAATTGATTTCCTTTAGGGACAATATGAACATGGCGATGAGACAACTTCAACAGCCTCAACAGCCTAGCCTCAACAACCTCAACAGCCTCAACAGCCTCAACAACCTCAACAGCCTCAACAACATAAACAGCCTCAACAGCCTCAACAATAAGCAACCAAGTTGCTTTCAGTCTAGAACATCTTAAGTATATAATATGGAGATTAGCTTTGAAAGCTTTTAGAAGCTTTAAAAGTCAGCGCCATCCTTAAGATGAACACCTGCTTCTCATCATGCCAACCGATGAGTTGCTGATAAATTATGTCAATTCACAAGCTTGCAGAAGAAAAGCCTTCAAAAAACAGCAAAGAGTGAAGCGCACTGTCTTTGCTCAGGTAGCACACGGTAATACTTTACCTGACGGGGCACAAATACTTACTAATAACTCAGTTAATACTGAAGAACAAATTCTGAACAAATCATGAACAAAAGTAGTTGCTACTTGAGATATAATATGCGTCATGATTCATTAATGATGAACAAACATGAGATCAGTATTTCACTTGTGGTATTCATTCATACTTGTTCCTTGTTTAGTTCCTTAGATGTTCCTTCAGTAGTTCACAAAGGTTTACAGAATTAATAGATATAGTAACAAATACAGTAACTGCTTGAGATAAAACATGCATCACGATTCATTAATGATGAATTAACATGAGATCAGTGTGTAACTAAGACTTAGTTTGTGGTTAATTTACACATAAGTAATAGTATAATTGTATATTATTTGAGCCCTGTCATGTAAAGTGGTACCTACCACACTTTCTTCACTAAGGTTTGGGTTAAACATCTCGTTTGATCCTGAGGCGTGTGGTCATACAATGGATGACTTAGAAGGTCTGAGGTAACACCGAAAAAGGTGCAGTAGACACCTAAAGACAGTGACGTTTTCGGCAGGGTGTGAGAATGTACGGTTGCTCCTTTCAGACCGGAGGTAAGTGCATGAACGCACAGATACTGGATTCCAGACCCTAAAGACCCACTTTCCATCGAGGGACAGTGGGCCAGACTGGCAGTAAGTGTACGTACGAGCAGATGCTAGGTTTCACACCTTAGAGTAAAGACACACTTTCCATAGAGGAGCAGGGAGGCACTAAGGAGAGGTCAAGGATTTTAATGTCCAGTGAGAAATAATGGAGAAAACTAAGCTTTTTCTAAGATATTCTCTCCAAATGTCAATCATATATAACGACGCCTTCAAAGGTGGGGAACAAAAGGAAACTACCAAACACAAAGTTATGTATTTCTGTCCCAAATTCTGATTTAATTTGTGAAAAATAACTCTTAGGCTTTAAAATAATATTTCGAGAACTTGACTGAAACATTGGAACATGTGTAATTTAATTTAGCAGAAATCATGACCTTCTGTTGGCTTCAGTGCACCGCAGCAGCAGATCTGTGAGCCAAGCTTCCAGATCTACACCTTTATGTTATTTTTCATTCATTCACTCATGTGCAATGATAGGTGAGTAAAGATGACTTTCCAAACAATTCTTCCATTATAAAAATATACTTCTTTTCTTTTAAAATAATTTACAGTTTTTTTTTTTTTATGGTGAGACATTTCACTATCAAGCTAAACAGCAAGGCTGCTGTCTAACAGAAAAAATATATTGAGATTGACGGAGCCATTGCTGGGACACAGCGATAGTGAATTACAGCTCCTCCATTCACTCCAGCTAGTCCTTTCGCTCAGGAGAAAAGACTACTGTCAACCTTCTATACCTTTTGCATAATCTATTTTTAAGTGTCAATATACATACCTTACACAGGCCAACAAAAAAAAGGAGAAATGACATCGCTCCTTTGAATCAAACATCGGTACCTCCAGACAAGCCCGAGAAAGTGTTAAAAAAGTCTTAAACTACACAAAGTCAAGATACAAAATACAGCAATCCAGTCTAATTACCATACAGACTTTCTGAATTTATATTCAAATTAAAAACAAAACTGAAGCAGAAACGAACTGGAAACATCGGATACTGAATAAAAAAAAAAGGTATTATTGGTAACCAAAAAAACGAAAAAAAAACAAACAAAACAAAAAAAAAACGAAAAAAAAAAACAGGAAGACATTGATGCTACAAAGAAATATATGTACACGACCCTGTTTTCCTGGTAAGTGTGCATGTATCAGCACATGGGGGGGTTTAATAGGCAGTTTCTGTTTGTATGAATATCCTTCAGTTTTCCAGTCACTTCCCTGCCCGGATTTTCCCGTCTATCAGTGATTTAGTTCAGCAGCAGCAGCAGCGGCGATCAGGGTCCAGGCACCGCGAAGCACCGCACAGAGATCCGTGCCGTGCAAGCCGCCTCACGCAGAACAGATTCCTGTGTCACCGGCGCCATCACCAGATGACGCTGGATATGCTGGTCTCTCGGGATAACAGCGGGAGCATGGCGTTGTTGGCGTGCGTCTCCTCCAAGCCGTGCTCACGGGGGGACTTGGCCTGTGGCCGCTGCCCATTCAACAGAGTCATGGGGATGTTGCAGTAGGTGTGTTGGTTGCCCAGGGTGGCAGTGGGTGGGATGTCGTACTCGTAGCTGCGGTAGTAATGTTTCTGCCGCATCTGGGTGTGGTAGCTGTTGTGGAAGGTGGAGCGCAGGTCGGGGTGCGCCGTCGCCATGGCGGTGGAGGTGGCGGCCGCCATGGAGATGGCGGAGACCGTCTGGAGCTCGCCGAAGGGGCCCGGCTCGCTGACATCCAGGACCTGCTCGTGGGCGGCGATGGGCTCCGGGCGCTTGAAGGGCATCTCGTACTGCAAGTGTTTCCAGAACTTGGAGCTGAGCTTGCTGCTCTGTGGACCACGCCACTTGATGACGGAGAGCGCCTTGATGGTGTGTTTGAGGGCCTCCACCTCCTGGTAGTTCATGATGCCGCGCAGCTCGGCGCACTCGATGAGGATCACCTTGATCTCGCCCGTCGCCAGCATGTTCCTCAGGCGCGTCTCCAGCTCGAAGATGCTCCAGCCGCGCCGGACCACGTAGTTGGGCGTCATGACGATGATGAGCCGCTTGCTCTGGTCCACGCAGCGCGCCACGTCCTCGATGTACGCTGGGAGAGAGCCGCGACAGAGGTGAGACAAGGTGGCTTTGAGTGTTACGAAGAACATGCTGGCAATTAGCGCTAAGAAAGCAGGAATTAATATCACTGAGACACCACCAGAAAAGGGCAATTAAATGATGTTCTAATAACAAAATAGGCTGACTGGTAATTATGTATCATAATAAGTTATTCATGCCATATACATTATATACATGTAATATATATGCTGTTAATTTGTGAGAATTGATGACCGTATTAGTGACACCACAGGATCAAGCAGTAACTTTGGAAGCATGTTCACAGTTCCTGTTGTCGCATTTCTTCACCTGCTTGCATCTTAACTAAAGTACATATCCTGGTAACCTTACAAAGACACCCCCCCCCCCCTTACTGTTTAGCCGCAGGTAGGAATATGAATGAGCTGGATACAGGAGGCTCCTACGGCCCACAGAAGGACCTCACCCCTCATTCTAGACTGTTCT